GCCTCAATGGCATCGCCTCGTTCCCGCAGGAGCTGAAGGAGCTCCTGCACCTGCGCGCGCTCGGCTGACCAATCCAGCCCTCGTTGGATGGAGAGCTGCACCAGGGCGCGGTCGCTCGTGGTGAACATCAGCAATGAACCCCCCGAGTTGCGGCGGGACGGACGCCCGAGTTGATCGAGCCATCCGAGCCATCGCCCCCGATCTCGAGATCACGCGAGGGGCCCCCATTGATGGGTGATGGGTAAAAGACCCTTCTACATGGCCATAGACAAGAATAGACACGGAGTCATGGTGTACACGCTGTCACTAAAAAAGCTACCATCTCAATCATTCCTCCTTCTCTCGCTCCGTCCCTCCATCCATCCCACGTGTCCTCGCCCACCCACGGTCGCGCAGCTACGGAGCCTCTCCTCTAGGCCGCGCCTGTCCCCTCATGCATAGCTGTAGTCCCAGCGGCCGCCGTGCCAGTGGGCAGAGTCCTGGTGCCATCGGCCAGGCGGGCCGTGGTAGCGGGGCGGCGGGCGCCACCCCGGCGGCGCGGGGTGCCAGTCCGGGCCGTACCCATCAGGGCGGCGCCGGCCATCGTCCCAGCGGCCGGGCGTGCGGTCGTCGCCCGACATGGCGTCCGCCACCTCCTCGGCCTTGTGGTGGAGGATGTGCGCCGCGCCCTGCCGGTCGCCCATCATGCCGAGCATGGCAGCGCCGAGGATCTTGCCGTCGCCCAGCTCCTTTTCCTCCGGCGCGAGGCGCTGCTGGTCGAGGTTGGCAGCCTCAGCGCCGTACGGCCGCTCCGGCTGCCGGACCTGCTCCTGCTCGCGGCGCTGCTCCTTGAAGTCCTGGTAGTCGTGGTACTCCTCGATGCCCTCTCTGAGGCCCTGCTTGACCTCGTCCTTCTTGTCCGCAAGGATCGACGCGGCGTCCGCCTTGTCGCCGGCGACGGCGAGGACGCCGGCCTTGAAGATGGCGCCGTCGCCGAGCGCCTTCTCCTTGGGCGCCTCGGGGTACGCATCGTCCGCGAATCCCAGGGCCAGCTCCGCGGGAGGTGGCGGCGGGGAGAGTGGGCCGGACGCAGCCGCCTCTGCGGCCTCAGCGGCATTGGGTGGCGCAGTATCGACGGACGACCCGCCGAGCATGCTGGCGGCCATATCAGCAAAGGCGGACAGCGGGTCCTCGAGTGCGCGCCCGTGCGAGCTATAGTCGCCGTAATAGCCCTCGTAGCGGTTCGAGCGGTGGCCGTAGCCCTGATTGTGCGAGTGGCGTCCAAAGCCGTCGTCGTCGTCGTCTCGGCCGGGCCTGCGGTCGTCGCCCGACATGGCGTCCGCCACCTCCTCGGCCTTGTGGTGGAGGATGTGCGCCGCGCCCTGCCGGTCGCCCATCATGCCGAGCATGGCAGCGCCGAGGACCTTGCCGTCGCCCAGCTCCTTTTCCTCCGGCGCGAGGCGCTGCTGGTCGAGGTTGGCCTGCTCCTGCTCGCGGCGCTGCTCCTTGAAGTCCTGGTAGTCGTGGTCCTCCTCGATGCCCTCTCTGAGGCCCTGCTTGACCTCGTCCTTCTTGTCCGCAAGGATCGACGCGGCGTCGGCGTTGTCGCCGGCGACGGCGAGGACGCCGGCCTTGAAGATGGCGCCGTCGCCGAGCGCCTTCTCCTCGGGCGCCGGCACCGGGGCCGCGCTCGCGAGGGCGAGCACGAGGAGGAGAGTGCGCACTGGGTTGCTCATGGTCCAGCGTGTCTGCGATGAGCGAAAAGGAGGGTTTGTCGTCTCTAAGGTTCACAGCGAGGCCCTTCAGCGTCTCTTGCGCCCACAGCGTCTCCATTCGTCAGATCCTGAAGGACTAGCGGAGTCGGGCACGGATGTGGATGTGCTGCGCGACCGACCGCCGCCGCCACCGCGCCACAAAACAAACGCGGTCTGCCCTCTCTTTCCACGGACCCCACGGGCCCACGCAGAGGATGTGGATTAGTTCTTGTTGATAGGCGACACAATCAATGCCCCTCCCTGTAACCCTGATTATTACCGCGCAGTGTGACTCTGTGCGATTTCGGGCCCGCGTGCGCAACGTGGATCTTCTTTTCTGACCGTTCTAAAATTCTTTTCTGAGCGCCGCCCACTGCCGCTCGGTGACGCTCGCCGGTCGCTCCAGCTAGGCGCCCACCACCGACATGCGCTCGTCCTCGCTGCTTGCCCGCCCAACGGTCGCCCGCCTGCTCACCACCATGTCGGCCACCACGCTTCCTGGCGACGTCAAGGTGACCGAGCACTTCCTCTCCGTTCCTCTCGACCACAGCAAGCCTGACGGCGGCTCGCTCTCGCTTTTCGTGCGCGAGCTCGTCGCCGCGTCCAAGGCAGCCGACGACCTTCCGTGCCTGCTCTACCTCCAGGGCGGGCCGGGCTTCCCGTCCAAGCGGCCAGCCTTCCCCCCCTCTGGCTGGGACAAGTCGGCTCTCGCAACGCACCGCGTCCTCCTCCTCGACCAGCGCGGGACCGGCCGGTCGACGCCCGTGACCGCCAAGCAGCTGCTCGCGCTGCCGGGCGGCCCGCAGGCGCAGGCCGGCTACCTCGAGCACTTTCGGGCCGACTCCATCGTCCGCGACTGCGAGGTTGTGCGTGAGGCCCTCTGCGGCGGCAAGAAGCTCAGCCTGCTCGGCCAGTCCTTTGGCGGCTTCTGCATCCTCACCTACCTCTCCCTCTTCCCCGACGCGATCGAGCGCGCCCTCTTCACCTTTGGGCTCGCGCCCGTCGGCCGGACTGCCGACGAGGTGTACGCGGCGACGTACAAGCGGATGGAGGTGCCGCGAGGCCGACCCCCGAGGCGAGATATGGGGAGATATGGGGAGACATGGGGAGTAGCGAGGCTAAATATAATATGGATATGAGGCCGACCCCCGAGGCCGGCGGCCTCGCTCCCTCTCGGGTCACGGCCCTCGCCTCGCCCCTGCCGCCAGGAGCGGAACCGGCGCTTCTACCAGCGCTACCCGCAGGACGTCGAGCTGGTCCGCTCGCTCGTCGCCGGGCTGCACGCTAGGAAGTGTCTAGGAAGTGTCTAGGAAGTGTCTAGGTCCGCTCGCTCGTCGCCGGGCTGCACGCCGCGCCCGCTGTAGGTGTAGCGTTTGGGGGGGCGACTGGCGACGGCAAAAATGCAAGCCCCGCCCCTGGCCACTGTTTCTTTGGAGAAGGACATGGTCCCCGATCTTGGGCGATCTTGAAAAAAAAAGCAGACAACCAAACGAGGGATAGGGGAGGAGGGGACAGGGTAGGCTCCGCCTCACTGCATCTCGGACTGGATTCCACGAATTGATTTTCCTAGCGTCGTCAAAGTGAGCTGAAAGCTCGCTCGAAGAGCCGATGGTACCCGCGACCGCCTCCCATCTCGCCGCTGCTCTGGCGGGGCGGCGGCGGGGCCTGGCGACGGCGCGCGGCGCATGTGCCGTGGCAACCCACCGGGCCGGCCGGCCGCGAAGGCGCCGACCGGTGATCGCCACCGCGCCCCGCCTCGGAACGCCGTTTCCGCTTGGCGTCCGAGGCGCTCGGCGTTCCCGCTGGAGCGCGAGATCGGACCGGGTCGGACGCTCCTTTTCTCGCCGTAGGCACGGCTGGCCGGCTCGAGCAGCGGAAAAACAAAAATCGCACGGCTCAATCCTCTCCGGCCAGCCTCGGGCTAATTAGTAACCCTATAAATCGGAAGTTTCCGGCGTCCCGGATGCCACCTCCCTGGCCCTCCACGCCCCGCGCGCGCGACCGTATCACCGCCGCAGTCGGCCTCCCCGCCCCGCGCGCTGTAGGAGCGGCGCCCACCCACCGGAGACGCCTTCCCCTAGACCGCCCGACCACCCCACCCCCTTCGGCAGGTGCCTCGCACGTATTTTGAGCGCGAGAGGCCTCCTTTGAGGTGGCGGCCGGCCGCCGCGTCGCGCGGTGAGGCGGCATGAGGCCGTCCCCCCTTCACGTTCGAAGGCGGGCCGGCCACGGCACCGGCTGTCGCGGCTCGAGGGCGGCAGGCGAGCCGCCCCCCCCTCCTCCCTCCCTCCGCCCCTTGCTCCCTTCCCCGCAGCGCTGCCCACGGCACCATCTCCTGGTGCCCCGCTGCCGCCCCACCCGCCGCGCCGCCCGCCGCCGATGGCCCGGCCGCCACCGCCACCGTCGGCGGCCGCCTCCCGCCCACCCGCACCGCCGCCCCGGCCACTGCCACCCGCGCCCCGCCTCGCCCATCTGCACCCGATGCAGGATGCAGATGCAGAATGCAGAATGCAGAATGCAGAAGCGGGCCCAAAGCTACAGCTGTGAGAGACGTGCAGGATGCAGGATGCAGAATGCAGAATGCAAAAACTCGCCCAATATAGGTAGGAGAGGCCAAAAAAAGAAAAGAAAGAAAGAAAGAAAACACACAACCCAAGGGAGGGATGGGAGAACGGCACGCCGCCACCAACCACACAGGGATTTTAAGGAGAGGAGGGTGTGATGCGCTAGCCGTCGCCCACCCTGGGGGGTCTGCCTCCTCGTATCTCTTTTCGCAGTCTCTCGCCGCTTCTCGCTGCAACCTTCATGCCACCTCGCGGCTGTCCCACTCTCGTCGTTCTCAAAAAAGAGTCGTACAGAATGCAGCTCGCCGCATTCTTTTTCCGTGCCAGTGCGAGCCAGTCCCGTGCCCAGTCCTGTGCCCAGTGTTGTGCGAGGGAGTTTTATTGTAAAATTCTTTTTCCGCCCCTCAGAGGCCGCCAGCCAGCGACCTCGAGCGCAGGACGAGCTGACCGCTTCTCATGCTCTGCGTTCTTCCTCTTCCGTCGCCTGCACGTGCAGCTCCGGCGCCTGCGCTCGTGCAGCCTGCGCTCGTTCAGTGCCCCACCCCGGGTTGCAATACGCCGCTGCGGCCTGGTCGGGTGGCGGCGCACCTTCTCCGCTGCCCGGTCCTGGCGGAGATCCGCAGGCAGGAGGCGCAGACCTGGTTTGTGCGAGGCGTCAACACCGGAGAGGGCGACGAGGGCGAGCCTGATGAGCCGCTCACGATGGAGGCTGCTTCGCTGCTCGAAGCCAGCCTCGAGCGGCGCTCTGGCACGCTCTGGCACGCGCCTGCAAGCTCGGCTCTGCCCGACGGCCTCGGGGTCAACGAGCGCAAGCGCGAGCGGCACCGCTTACAGCGCCGCGCGATCGCCGAGCAGCTCGCAGAGCTCGGCGCCCTCGGCAGAGGCACTCTCCTTCCCCTCTCTCTCTCTCTCTCTCTCTCTCTCTCTCTCTCCCTCCCTCCCTCCCTCCCTCCCTCCCTCCCTCCCTCCCTCCCTCCCTCCCTCCCTCCCTCCCTCCCTCCCTCTCTCTCTCTCTCTCTCTCTCTCTCTCTCTCTCTCTCTCTCTCTCTCTCTCTCTCCCCACACACACAAACACACACTCCTCGCTCCCTCGCCCTCGCCCTGCAGGACGCTGCATCGTCGAGCTCGGCGCGGGGAACGGAGAGCTCTCCCTCGCGCTCGCAGAGGCGCACCGCGACGCGGTCCGCTCGGACACGCTGGTGCTGCTCGACCAGGGCAGCAAGCCAAAGGGCCGATCGGGCCACGGCAGGCTCGCGGCAGACACGGCGCTCGAAGGCCATTTCGCGAGCGTGACGCGCCTGAAGGCGAGCCTCGAGTCCACGGGCTGGCCACTGTGCGGGCGTGACGGCTCTGCGTGCGTAAGAGTCGCAGGTTGGACTCGAGCACGTCGACCTCGCGGCGCTGCGAGAGGAGGTCGCGCCGTCCTCGTCCGGGCTGGTGGTGAGTAGTCTCTCCGCCCCTGCTCCCGCCCTCGCCCGCCCTCGCCCGCCCTCGCCCACAGCCCGCCCTCGCCCGATCTCGCCCGACCTCGCCCGACCTCGCCCGATCCCGCCCGCCGACCTCGCCCGACCTCGCCAGGTCCTGGCGAAGCACCTCTGCGGCGCGGCGAGCGACTACGCGTTGCGCGCGAGCGTCGCGGCGAGCGTCGCGGCGAGCGCCGACCCGCTCGAGCTCCTGCTGGCGACTTGCTGCCACCACCGGTGCTCTTGGCGCGACTTCGTGAACCGCCCCTCGCTGCGCTCCGCCGGGCTGGCTGACGGTGCCTGGGGCCCTAGATGCACACCGCTAGTCACGAGGCTGCCCTCACACACTGAGGCACTGCAGGCTTCGGCGCGGCCGAGTTTGAGCGCCTCTGCCGCGTCAGCTCGAGAGGCGTGAACGCGCAGGAGAGCACCGTGCGGGCGCGGCCGAAATAGATGCGGCATACACGCGTTCGGAAAAGTTTCTTTCAGGACCCCGCACACTCATTGGACCTATCGCTCTCTTATGTCCGCTTCACAACCACAGGCGGACGTCGGTCGACGGGCGAAGGATGTGCTCGACGAGGCGCGGGCCGAGTACCTGCGGAGCCACGGCTTCGAGGCGCGGCTGAGCACTTTCGTCGACGCGAGCGTGACGCCGGAGAACGTACTACTCGTCGCCAGGCGAAGGCGTGGCGGGTCGGAAGGATTGTGACTACGGCCGCGCGACCTAAATTAACCCGCGCCACTTCTTTTTCGTGCCCGTGTTGTGCGAGGAAAGAAAGAAAGAAAGACAGAAAACAGACAACCCAAGGGAGGGATGGGACTTGGGAGGACGGCACGGGCCGCGAAACATCCGGATTTCTTTTTTTCGGCCCCTGGCTGCTCAACCACCTCTCCATGGAGTTGCCGCAGTACGATAACGGGCCCGCCGGCGAGCCGGAAAGCCGAGGCCGGAGGGCCCCAGGGGAGGCTTGGGGTCAGTTGTCGGAGGAGGGGCGAGAGATGAGCTGACGCGGCCTCTGCGAGTGGAGTCGGGACGTACGAGCTCGCCGGGGGAAGGCCCGTCGCGGTGGCAGCCGGACCACCGTGATCTTCGACAGGGAGGGCCACGCCTCCCCGAGCCTGAAGAGGAGCCGGCGGATGGGGGGGGGCGAGCCGAGGACGATAGAGAGGCCGCGGGTGCGGGCGCGACTCGTCGACCAGGGAGAGCCGGCCCGACCTCCCTGGGAGGGGTGGCGACGAGACACGATGCCGCCGCCCTCACCCGGGGAGACCCCGGCCGGACCGTCGACGCTCTCGGGGGCGGCGATACCAGTCGAAGGTGGTGCGGAGTCGAGGCCACAGCCGAGGAAGAGACATCAGAAACGACTGCAGAGGCAGTCTGGGAACGCCCGGAAGGCGAGCAGGGGCCCGGAACGAGCCGAGGGCTCGCCCTGACGGGCGGAGGAAGGGACTCTGGGACCGGAGTAGGGCGGGCGCGCATGAGGCGTATCCGTGTACGTGTATGGAGTACAGTGTTGTGTGTCCGTTAGCTCCGAGTAGAGGGGGCGTTCTGCAGTTAAGGGGAAACCCGGTACACGGAACTAACCCTCGGAGACCCGTGTTTACTTTATGGCCCCTTCCCTGCGAACGCGCACACCACGCACGACATTGCACACCACGTACTCTACATACACAACCACTTGTCTAGTCCCTGGTCTCGGAGTTCCACTGTCCGTCCTCCCCGGGCTCCGGCTCTCCCCGATTCGCTCTCTTGCTCTCGTTTGCCGAGCGTTGCACGACGGCCGCTGTGGCCGTTTCCCTCGTTGTTGGTGTCGCGTTCTCCGCTGCCGCCTTTCTTCTTTGGAGTCGGGGCATACGAGCTCGCCAGGGGTAGACTCGTCGCAGCACCCAACCCGCCAAGCGCCAACGCCGGCGGCGAGGGCGACCGTGGGCATCGTCGTCATCGCCACGGCCAAGGACGTCACTCCCCTCAAGGTTGACGAGATCGGCAAGGCCGTCCGCAGCTTGCCCGGCCTCAGCAGCGGGGAAGAGCGAGGGGCTCGAGAATCAAGCTATCAAGGACTGGGTGCTGGCGCTGCCCGACGCGCGGTGCGTCGCGCCCCGCGCCCCTCCGCCTCGCTC